GATGTGCGAAGTATTACATACTTTGCCTAGGCATTGTATAGAATGCCTAGACATTCTATACAATGCCGGATGCTATTCAGGCAAAGTATGAAATAAACGTCCTGATGAGGTTATTATGTAAATGATGTGCATGTTTCTGTGAATGAGCGAAATCGGTGGTTGTTGACTTTCACCGGTGAATGTTGACAGTCACATAGTCGCTTTGGTGAATGTTCGAAATATTTATTACATCCGATTTGATATTAATTTATTCGTGGATATAATTACATTTATTCGATATTTTAATACTTACTGACGATAAGTTAGAAGAAACTTCAGTGTTTGGAGTATCGGGCAAATGCATACCGGGCAGTGACCCTTGATCTTAAAAAAACATCAGTGCAGGGTATACCGGGCAGTTACACTGAACCATAATAAAACATCAGTGAAGGGTATACCGGGCAAATGTATACCGGGCAATGGCACTTAGATAGACCTAGTATATATTTCGGACATTTACCAAAGGTCCAGTCATACTAGTTCTAGTTAAGTGCCATTGCCCGGTATACATTTGTCTGGTATACACTACACTGATGTTTTTTTAAGGTCAAGTGCCATTGCCCGGTATATGCTACACTGATGTTTTTTTTAAGGTCAAATGGCACTGCCCGGTATACATTTGCCCGGTATACCGTACACTGATGTTTCTTTTAATCTATCGTCAGTAAGTATTAAAATATCGAATAAATGTAAAACTACCTATTTCGGTCATTCACAGTAACATGCATTTCTCAAAAATAAAAATGTTATTCTGAAAAAAATACTGAGAGTGACATTGAAAAGCATTTATTCAAAATGTGGAAAGAAAATTAAAAAGTTATGCAGAACAAAATTTAAGCCTTTCTTATTAAGAGAAATAAAATTTTCATACAAAAAAATATGAAATTAACCTACTTGTTGCAACATGGCAGGCTTAAATTACATTTTGAATTAGATTTCACTAAATTTTTCCATGTAAATTTCATTACATTCCTCCATTTCCATGTAGCACAGTAAAAAAATAATTTTTGTTATTAGTCCAAAGTCACGAGCCACGCGTTCAAAGTCACGAACCTTGCCAAGTGATATTTGAAACGAATAGGAGATGCATTTTATACTTTGCCGGTTTCTCATTTGGCAATCTATACAATGCCAAGGAAATGTGTGAAATATAAATCATTTCATACTTTGCCGGCTAATTTTAGACATTCTATACAATGCCTAGTCATTCTGTACAATGCCGGATTTCATACTTTGCCGGTAACAAGTAAATAAAAATTGAAATTTTGCATACTCTGACTAATGTACTAATGGTGGCATTTATAATTATTTTTTACTTTAACTTTCTACTTTAATGTGTTTTTTACCCATTGGCAAAATGGGTGTTGTTTTATGTTTGATGCTGTGCGCGCCTTATTTGGACGTCATCACACTTTTCAACTGTATTTAAGAGCAATAGTAAACCGTGCACATACGTTGTCATTGCAACGTTGCTATGGCGACCACTACTGTTTGATAATTTTTTTATATTTTTTTTTTCACTTTTAATTTTGTTATGCATTAAGTTGGTGAGTTTATTCTTAAGGTATGGGACCAGAGAGATCCCATAACTACTTCTTGAGTTGTGAATAAAAGAGAATTTCATCATTTGAAAGATATATATATTTTTTAATGTTCTTTTTAAGATTTACTTATTTATAATTACTGTCTTGACAATTTTAATATAAATATGAATGTTAAAGAAGCTAAAGAATTTCATGACGTCTTAAGAAGCGTATATTGTTTGAAATTGAGAACCAATCTAGCCCATTCGATAACAAGAGGTCAAAAATCAGTCAAAAATGCAGTGTCTGAAACTTATGATTTAAAATGTTGTGTCGTTTATGACTGCAGAAAAAAAAACACACATTAGATCAATGGACAACCAGTGATTGCAAAAAGCTATCAGAATTATTTTTTTATTAACATTTTATTATTTATTTATTTTACAAAATGGCTATTAGGGGAGGTTAGTACCATCTTGTTAAATTAAAGGTTTCGACAAATATCCCTGTTAAGATACCCAACAATAGAAAAAAACTTATTAAAAATATTAAGACCAAAGAGCAAAGAAAAATACACAAATAATAAAGCTTTCTTGAGTTAGTTCAGTTAACTGATTCAAACTAAATTCGTTGAACAATTTCGGTTCAGATTTGTTGCAAATTACCAGTAAATGGATAGAGTTAATTACTGCTCTAGCCGACCGGCCTGTGTAGGGAGCGGGGAACTGTCCTTGCATCAGAAAGGTCCTGGGTTCGAATCCCGGGCAAGGCATGGATGTTTCTTTCTCTCTCTGTGTGTTCTTTGTCCTTTATCCTTTGTGTGTGAATGTGACCCGTCCTATAAACAGGTTGTGTGAATGGCGTGGCAAAAGTCGAATTCCTGGCCATAGATGGCGCCACTGAAAAATAGGAACAAGCGCATCCCCACTGCCTAAACAGGCAGACGACAAAAAAAAAAAGAAAAAAAATTACTGCCCTAACATTTCTTTAGGCTTTTAATAATTACCTAAATGGTCAACACAACTTTTTTAATTTCTGCGAATAAAAATTCTCAGAATGAATAACAAAACTTCCCTCATGTAAGGAAAATAAAACCAGCTTTGTAGCTCGAAAATTAATTCAAAGAAAAAGAAGTTAATAAATAGAAATTAATAGTAAAAGCAGACGACTAACATTATATGCTATTAATTAATGTTAACTTAAAAAATTTATTAAATTAAAATTAAAAAATAGAAAAATATTTTTGTAATAAGCTGGTCAAACCATCTATAATTCTCTTTCAACCTGCATAGCATCATATAACATAGAAGTGTCGAATGTCCATAGTCTAGATGCATTGGTAAAATTTGTTAAGGCACCAAATAAACAAATAAGGGGTGATTGATTGCATTCCGGGTTTTTCGGATCATCCTTCCAGGTCCAGGAGCTAGGAAATTAGGAGGAATGTGATTTTTTCACAAATTTCGCTGCTTTCCGCGTACCTCAAGACCATAGATACGTTGACTTCCACGAATCAAAAATAAAGTTAAAATTAAGAATTACCCAATCTAAAATTTAAATTTTGAAACGTTTGCTAAGTAGCGTTAGCGAGTTGGTTTCATAATTATGATTCTTCCTCCAATTTGATTGTCTTTTTTTCTTTCATTCGTAGGATTTTGATTTTTTTTTTATTCGTCGGATTTTCGCAGTTTTTAATATTGAAACTGCGCCGGAATTAGATAATACCGCAATTTATATTCGTGAGATTTAAAAACCGTACATCGCGATTCGTATTCACTTGATTCAAAAATCCAATATCGCAATTTGCATTTACGCGCTTTTAAAATCAATATCGCACTTCGTATTCGCGCTTTAGTTATATCAAACATCGACTTTTGTATTTATTCGTTATTTAAAAGTCACACATTGCGATTTATACTCGCACTCGAATCATGCATTCTGATTTGTATTTACGTGATTTGAAAATCCAATACCGCGATTTTATTATCCGATAGCTCATATTCACGCGATTTTATAATCCGATAGCTCATATTCACGCGATTTTATAATCCGATATCATGATTCTAGCAAGAACTAAGTTTTCCCTTAAATTGATTTCTACAAAAGTGTGTTATTCCTCATTGGTAAGTAATTTCATCATAAATCTTATTTCAAAAAATTATATTAAACATGTATAGTAAGTAAATTGATATCTTGATACCGAGTTTCTGAACATAAATTTTGAGGTTTTTATTACCTAGTGTCACTATCACCCGTGACAAATATTATTTTTCCGTATAATGATATTGGTATGCACTTTATGATCCCCGATAACAGAGATTTTATTTGACAGGTGAATTGGTACACGCTCTATGACTTTAATAACGGAGATTATTTTCTAGTAGGTTTATTGATACATGTTGCATGATGCCCTTTAGCAATATTGTGTTTTTTGGTAGGTATATTAGTACAGTGTCTGACCTTAGCATTCGAAATTATTTGTGTATTGGTACACACTGTATGACCCCAAGCTTAGAATATCTTGCGTAAGAGCTTTTGCTTTGTCAAGTTCCGAGATAGATGCGATTAGATGGTAGACTACGTTTTTGTCTATCCCCACCTCCATGTAATGACCATTATTGTTTTCCGCCATCTGAAATCGTGAAATCGTATGTTCAATCGTTGAAAGTAATATATGCTTGGAAGATCTTACGTAGATGCTTATCATGCTTTTACTATTGTTAGGTTACAGGATAGATGCGATTGGATAATGGTAGTCAAAGTCTTCATCAATCCTCACCTCTATATAATGTCCGTTATAATTCGCCGTGGAGGCGAGAAATCGTATGTTCAATTGTTGAAAGTCAAAGTATGTTCAATCGTTGAAGATCTTACGTACATGCTTTTGCTTTGTTTGGTTCCTGGATAGAGCCGATTTGATCATGGTAGACCAAGTCTTCGTCAATATCCACCTTTATTTGAAGTCAATTATTGCTTTCTCGTGAAATCGTATGTTCAATCGTTGAAAGTAATATCTACTGTAAGATCTCACATACATGCTTCTGCTGTTAAGTTCTGAAATAGATGTGATTGTAGCATAGTAGACCAACCTTTCGCCAATCACAACTGAGCGAGCAAGAATTCAAAGTTTGAGCTCTAGGAGACCAAGCTGTATAAAAATGATTCCTGATGGTCGCCATCTGGTAACGATTGTTGAAACTTTTTTTTCTGGAAAAAATTGCCATTAATTAATTTTCATTCAATTTTACATGCATACTTTGTGAAACGAGCTGCTTATAAATACCAGTTTTAATTAAGGGCACACTGTGCATTGAATTTTTCTTCTAAAATCAACAAGTTTGAGCTATACGAAAAATACTGGTATAATACAGCATACTTTTAAAAAAATACTCGTATGATTCAATTGATTCAGCAAAAAAAATATTAACTTATTCTTACTTTTCTCTTTGTTTTTTTGGCAATAATTGGTGCAAAATGTTTCCATGTTTTTCTGTCCGATGCGAGCCCGTGAAGAAGAACTATAGGTGTTAAGTTAGGGTTACTGCCTTCAGTGGATTCATACAAGTCATAAGCTAAGTTAACAGGAGTGGTGCTAAAAAAAGTAAGAAGGAGAGAAAGAAAACGAAATGAGAGTCTGTGGGTGACAAAACTTTCAAGTTTAAGAAAGCTAATTTTTTCTCTTAAAGAAGCTTTTCCCTTTCGATCAAACTAATCTGACGAAAGAGGGAGAGAAAAATCCAAATATATTTTTAATCCTTATTTAATTTTCGCAAATTAACTGATGGTGGATATTTACTCTATCCAATCCAATAACATGTAAAATATGTGACTATCATCCAATCTCAATTTGAGATATAAGGCATATAGCATTTTAGGTTCTCTAATTATTTTTTTCCTGATAAAATTATCCCTTTATGTTATATTTCTGTTGTGACTATTTTTTGAAAGGTAGTTTAACATTATATATTTGTCTTAGTTCATATTTTTGATAAAATACCTCTGTTTTTGCATAATTTAGGTTGAATCGTTTTCATTAGTTTAATTTGTTTAGTTCCATTAGTTGAAATTACATGTTGAAATATATCATAATATAGACAAATGTGTTATTTAAAATTATGCTCTCAAAACCATAAATTGCCTATTTTTATTGGGTTGCATTTGTGAAAGGAAAATTTATAATAGTTCTAAATACAATCTAGCATTATTTCTCCTAAATTAAGAAACGAACCAGCCCCTTATTTTTTCATAGGTATAGTGCTGTTGAATGTTGCTCTAACATCCAAATATATATATATATAT